ACCTGCCCCCACCTCCGCCACCTTCATCACGCAGTTGCTGTTGGAATGAACCTTTTTTGAGTCTGAGCACTTGGAATTTTGTTTACAGGTGGTTTTTCCTCCCAAGGTCTCCTGGTGCAGTCACATCAAAGGAGAACAGAACAGCAAAAAGATAAAAATCTTTAAGCAGTTTAAACAATTTTTGTTGTAAACATTTGGTCCAAAGTTTATATTTCAACGTAGGGAGAAAGTTAAGAATTCAAAATAGTTATTTCAATTCTTAAGTTCAACAGCAAGAGAAAATCATTTCACCACTTCTGCATTTTACATGTTCTTGTTATTACTCCTCACTGAGGATATTTTTTCCATTAATTTTTCTTTTTTTTTAAGAGAGAGCGTAAGGGGTGGGGAGAGAGAGGAACATCGATGTGAGAGAAACACTTTGATTGATTTCCTCCCACATGTCTGGGGATCAAGCCTGCAACCCAGATACGTGCCCTTGTCTGGGAATGGAACCCATGACCCTTCAGCCCGCGGGCTGACACTCTGACCACTGCGCCACACCAGCCGGGGCTGCATTTTACATGTTTTGATTGTATGATAGGATGAGAGAGACATGATTGGAAAGTGCTTTTTAATTACTGGTGCAGTTAAGAAGAGTAAGAGTTAGTTAGGTTTCCCCCCTTAATTCCTGGGGAGTAGGGTAGGATCATTCAGCACCTCTGAGCTGTTCTGTAACTCAGGAGACTGCTCCTCTGTGTTCTGGACAGTGCTGCTCCATGCTGGTCTGTGAGCCACATGTGGCTATTTAGGTTTAATTAAAACTTAATAAAATTTAGCAATTCAGGTCCTCAGCTACACTAAGTACACTTCAAGTGCTCTATAGCTGGGGGCTACCACGTTGGACAGAAGAGATGTAGCTGGAACCTTTCCCTCGCTGCTGAAGGCTTGTGGACAGCGCTGAGCGGGACCCTGACCGCTGTCAGCCCTCCCTACCTTCCCCAGCGAGCGAGCAGTCTCCCCACATCCTTCTCAGACAGTTTCCTGTTTAGTTGGTCATCTCAGGGCAGCCCCTTCTTTCCACGGCTAAGTAATAAAAATGCAAGGGAAGCAGGTCCCTGCTAGACCGTCTTCCCGGAGCTGCCGGCCCTCAGCCAGCGAGGAATGCGTCTGCTGAGTGGGGATGTCCCTGGGCTTTTCAGCCTGCCCTGCGCACCCCATTCAGAAAACACGACCAGCCTCGGGGCGCCGCCTGAGCGAGGCCTGAAAACCTGAGTGCACTCACACAGGGTGGGCTGGCGTTTCCTGACCATCCTTAGGACTGAAACCGTTGCTTACCCTTAATAATGGTCTTATTGTAAGTACTTTCTGCAGAATTGAAGAGAGCCATATGGTTCCTTTAGCTAAGAGAGAATTCTAGAATTGTGATTTTTTTTCATCAGCTAATGGAGTCTTCGATAAACAGACCTGTTTGGGTTCATGGGGTCGAGTGCAGGAAGAAGG